ACATCACTGAAGAGACTAAAACTACGACAAAACATATGTCTAGTGCTGTTTCGTTATCAATAATTCTCTAATTCATATTGGTTCGTGAAGTAGTCCATATTTAAATTAATCAAAATTCATAATCTAACTATTAAATAATTATTATAAATAACTTGCATAATTCAAAGTGAACTATCACCAAGGACAACCATCTCATTGCACGGTTTCGAGGCCCATTTGGCTAAGACAATAGACTGATTCTATCCACCTAATTCCAAACATCCTATCCTTGGCAAGACAAGCTTTCACTACTCTCAAGTCTGTGTGGAGGTCAACAGCACTCAGCATCAAAAATAAGGTCCGGATTTTCAACTCCAATGTGAAGTCAGTCAGTGCTACTCACTATACGGATCAGAGATTTGGCCACCGCGTCTTAAAGAGCATCTCAAACAAACTACAGACCTTCATTAACAGTTGTCTTCACTCAATACTCAAGATCAGATGGCCGGCCAGAAAAGATCAGCAACAGAGATATCTGGCAATGAGCGAACCAACCAGGAACCGATTGTGAAACAAATAAACAGGAAGAAATCGAGATGGATTGGCCGTACTCTGAGGAAAGAATGCATCAAGTGACATCACTAGACAAGCCATAGCTCGAGTGGAACCCGAAAGAGAAGCGGCGAGTTGGTCGTTCAAGGGTGACATGGAGGAGGTCATGTGAAGAGGAGATGAAAGCGTGTGGGCAGACTTGGTGCCAGGTGAAGACTCTATCAGAGAACTGAACGCAATGGAGACGCACGGCTGAAGCCCTATGTTCCTCTAGGAATTAAAGGAAACAATAATAATAATAATATCCTTGGACTAATGGAGGTATTTCTGAGTTTTAAGTTAAATAATGGTTTATGATGAAGTTATTAGCTCTACCAAACAATTTCTTGCTTATTATAATTGACTGTTTACTGGATCAATAAGCGTATTTTCATAATCCTTCCCATCTGTAACCTTCTCCAGTTACTACTAGTAATACAACTAGAAGTGTTCAGTAAAACAAGGTTTACAGGTTCAATGTACAATGCTGTAGCCAGCCAATAACCTTTATCGTAAAGATATAAACTAAAAAATTTGATGTAAAATGCTTCACAGAAATTCAAAGATTTGTCCTTAACTTTTTCATTATATAATTCTATAATATGATAACCGACAAAAGACAACATCAGATACAAAACATTTCTAGAGTTGAAATCATTAAAATAAGTCTTAAAGAGAGTTAAAGTTTCAATGTTTTTGAATGATGTAAAAATATGATAGTGAACTAGAATGATAATTCTTGCACAAATCTATCCAGTAGTAGTACAACAGTGATTTAAGTAGTAAGTTTTCAGTAGTAGAACAGATTTTTCTATCAGAAATCTTTTACATTTAAGCCACGTGACAAAAAAACAACTGTGAATCAAGTTTATATACATATACCCCTAGTGTTGTTCGGTTTCGACTTATAACCTTAAAATAGAAATATCACGCAAATGTGGCGAGTACTACTGATAAGATTTATTCTTTGGCATAAAAATATCAAATTGCAGGGAGATACATGTGATACCAGAGAAGGCAAGTGATACAGCGTTTCGGAGGTACATGGGAGACGTGAAAAGAATACAAAGAATCACAATATGAAGGCCAGAAGTACCACAGTAAGAAAAGGTCTGTGCAAATTGTGCGTTGAAGGTAAGGTGTACATCATTTGGCTATATATAGCACCAATTCTTTCGTCTTTAACCGTTCCACAAGTGTTGCTCATTCGAGGGGCTTTTTGTGTTTCCCACACTTTGTGAAGGCTGAACTCTGATTAGTTACTACTACCTTTCCGCTCACTTATCAGTGAATTTAGTGTTTAGAAGACACAAAGATTGAGCGGAAAAATACCTACTTTTCAGTTAGATCTGATTGAACAGCAAGTTCTTCTCTGCGCAATCATTTTGTTTTCTACATGTCTATATGGGGACGTTTTATATATTGAAATGTAACGTTTACCAAGGTCATTAACTATCCAGCTCAGAGAACACAACCACATCAATAACTAAAGGTCAACCAACAGGAACACAGGCTTACAAGAATTTAGAAAAAATCCATCTATAGCTGCACATGCATGGGACAAAATCACAATATCGATTGGAACAATGTGTGAACAAATGGAATGAGAGACTACTAATAACAGAATCTACATTCATTAAGGTCACACCGGATACATGTAACAAGAATGACTCAGTACAACTGTCAACAACCTGGAATATAATTCTAAATACACAAAAATAAATGAACAAAAAATGAACTACATATACATATGAGTACAAATCATAAAAGTGTGAGTTTAAAAAACAAAACAATTCGAACAGTGGTATGAACACCGGCAGTAATTTTGCTCGAAATATTACCAATAACAAAAAACTTGTAATTGTGTGTGTAAACTTCATTATAATAAAGGTTTTTGTATTTCCCAATGCATGAATGAAAAACAAAACGATATTGTTTTTACTGACGTTTCGCTATTTAATGCTAATAGCTTTATCAAAGTATAATAGTGTGTGTAAACTATTGAAATATAATTATACTTTACAGGACTTAAATACTAGATTTGGATGAATTTGCTGCCTAATTCGTGTACAGCATCCATAATTCCCTCTGTCTACTACTACGGGCTCACCTCACTGGTTGCTCAAGGTCATTAATCTATTCATTAGGTAGTTTCGTTTTGGGCTGCTATAGTTTAGAGTCACCATCTTCCAATACATGAGATAACTGTTCATCAGTTATGTTTTTGCTTCTCAAAATGTACTTCTGAACATCTTACAATTGGCTTTCAAATAGATAGATATCGTGGATTTCTTGAAGGAGATAAAGCAGATATATCTTCATGGAATGGTATGCGTTTCCGCTCAGAGACCATTGTGTCACAGGATATACTGTCAACTGATATTTTACACGAAGATATTGTACGAAGAGGAATTGTCATGCAATAAACTCTTCTGAAAATTCTGTACATTTCATAAATACTGTCCAGAATAAAGATGTTATTGTTATTATTACTATTTAGAGTACCACTGAAAACCAGGGAATACAGAGTAGCTGATTGCTCAACCAGTTTGGCCTTGTAGCCTGAAGAACCCGTGTTTCATCTCTGAAGGGGTCATAGGTTCATACAGTTGAAGAGTCCCAAACTACTGATGCCAGTTCTATTATTTGTCTGGTTTTCTGGTTTAGTATCACGCCATACATTAAGAGTACTATACCTTCTAATGATTAAGACACTATGTCAATCGACATCACCAACTAGTTAATATCAAAGTTAACAATTGTTGTACTTCACTGACAGAAATCACGAAAAACCAGCTCTAATCGAGGCTAAATGCAACCGCTATTCGGGCGAAAAACAAAACTGGCAGGCATGTTTAACCTGTTTAATTCCCTACTGTCATAGTTAAAATAAAGAAAGTTTTAAAGCCAGTCGAAATTTAAGTAACAAAAGAAAGTGTAAAGGAAAATAAAACTGCTATTTACTGTTTGACCTAATATACAGAAAGTGTACATACATAGAACAAAAAAAATACGAGCAACCAGATAGTGGAAAAATAAAAATAAATCAATGAAAGCAACAAGTTAAACACCCCATATTGTTACAAAACTTTGATAAACTAATTTTTTTCCTTTCAAGATACACGAACTCATATGTGCAATATACTTTACTACTTCTGATTAAGCAAGGAAGTGCCTGGTCTATACCATAAGCATTATATAGATTTCTCTTTGAAATGATGTGAGGTAGTTCAAAGTGATAGGCAGAAAACCCTGGATTTAGGTTTCGTGTTTATTTGGCACTCGTCAGCAATTTGAATACCAATTAACATTGAATTCAAAGTGGACTGAGATGACAAATCATCTAAGACGGTGACTGCATTGTAAACTTGACTGATAGCATTCAGTCGGCACTGGCACTACTAAAGGACTAGTCACACGACAGTGGTTACTGCCTAGCGACTGACCGATGTGACAGTGAAATTTCAGAATCAGATATCCATCGGTGTTACAGATATAAAAGAAGCCTTTTCTGTTTAGAAATCGCCAGCATAGCTTTGAAATTTTTATTATTCCCTTGAGTTCCGGATGCGGAACAGGACCTCAGCAGCACACAGCCGTTTCACTCTGATCTCTGTACTCTTTTTTAGATGGCTCCACGACTGCTGGTACGCTTTCATTTCCTCTTCATATGATTTTTTCCACGTCACCATCGGACATTCGTCCGACTCATCATTTCCTATTAGGGTTCCATATGAGGGCCTGGTCTCCTCAGTGTATACACATTATAACTCCATTTCATTTGAATTATTTTTGGGTCAGCCATACGTTATTCTCCTGATGGTCGCCGACCACAGTTCCTTGTAGCTTATCCATTCCTGCTGCCTATCTGATCTGCAGTATCGAGCAAAGGCTGCTGTTTATAAAAATCCGCAGAAGGATCTTGTAAATGCTCTCAAGTATATGGGATCAATGACTTGAAAGTGCTGAAAACTCGGATCTTGTACTTCATACCGAGTACAGCAGATCTCCACATTGATTCCAGATTGATGAAAGTCTATCTCGCTTTTCCCATTCTAGGCTTTGAAATTCTTATCCATGGCATCTGTGTTTAAAACGATACCGCCTATGTCAAGATTTATCCCATTGACGATGATAACCTATGTCTTCTGTATGTTTACTAGGAGTCCTATCTTGACTGCCTTTTCTAACAATTTATTGAATTTCTCCTGAAGATTTTCCAGTTTATTCTAAAAGAGATGTAAATCATTCAAGGAAATGTGAAATCACCTAGTGTCCTTTTTCTAGTGTAACTTTTAAAGCGACCGCCTTAATAAATACATTAGAATTAAAGATCGCCGAGAAAAAGTAAAAAAAAACGGAACATTTTGTCTAGATATTACCCCAAAAAACATAAATAAAATCATTGTATATGAACAAAAAACACTTACTGAAGGTGGTGGGCGACTGAGTGATGGAGGTTTCAGACGTATAGGAAACTCATCAGTACCATAGGCAACAATCCAAACAGATCGCCAAAATCCTTTAATATTATCTGGATCAACACGACTAATCTCAGTGCCTAAGATACTATCCAAACGTATTTGCCATGTACCGATAGCACTTTCACCCCAAAATTGTACAGTGGTCACCGGCCAACGTAGCATAGCTATATTGCCTGAATGTTCATCATGTATTCGAGGCGGTAACAGGACACTCAGTGTACCTAGGATTAGGCGAAAATAAACATATAAAATATATTAATTAAATATGCCTTTCAAAGAAAACAAATATTTATTTTGAAAAATCTCTAAATTTAACTGTATGTTTCATCATTTAGCACCTAATTGGCCAACAAACATTTAGACTGAAAAGGCATAAAACTGAATATTTCCAATAAATTTAATCATCTTCTTTGTAGGTCGTGTTTGGAATGCAATTCACTGAATAATACTGTATTACAACAACAACAGACAACAGTCAGCATAAATGGAAGGAACCTGAAAGAAACAACCTCTTTTACCTACATGGGAAGCATCGTTTCAACTACAGGCGGAACTGACGAGGATATCAAAGCAAGAATCGGAAAAGCAAGACAAGCTTTCACTAATCTCAAGTCTATGTGGAGGTCAACAGCACTCACCATCAAAAATAAGATCCGGATTTTCAACTCCAATGCAAAGTCAGTGCTACTATACGGATCAGACTTGGCCAGCGCGTAATAAAGAGCATCTCAAACAAACTACAGACCTTCATTAACAGTTGTCTTCGCTCAATACTCAAGATCAGATGGCCAGCCAGAAAAGATCAGCAACGGGGAGGGATCTCTTGGAGCGAAACAACCAGGAACCAATTGTGCAACAAATAAGAAGGAAGAAATGGAGGTGGATCGGCTGGCCATACTCTGAGAAAACCATCAAGCAAGTGACACCACAAGCCAGGCCATCGCTCGAGTGGAACCCGAAAGGGAAGCGGCGAGTTGGTCGTCAGTGCAAGGGTGACTTGGAGGAGGTCATGTGAAGATGAAAACGTGTGGGCAGACTTGGAGCCAGGTGAAGACTCTAGCAGAGAACCGAAATCAATGGAGACGCACGGCTGAAGCCCTATGTTCCTTTAGGAATTAAAGGAAACAATAATAATAATACCATGTATTATGTCTCTGTCTGTCTGGATTCAACATAGAACTTGGCACCGAAGTTCAGCAGTTCGAGTTGCCACGTTCAAAATAGCACACAAAGGTAGACAACCATGTATTATATATAATATGATATGGCAAAGGAAAGTAATTTTGTAGTATATACTACAATGTTATCACTATATCTTGTTACCTGTGGAGATGTAGCTTATTGACTTAAGAATTTGGCTTTCACTCATCCAGCAGGTCATGTGTTCGAATAATGCTCCATCTACTTCAGATAATGGTACTATCCAGTCAACAGTGACTGAGATACATGTATGACCAGTAGCGAAAAGCAAGTGTTAAGCCTATAAGTCACAATTCCACATTACCAGGCAATTATTCCGTTTTGATAGTTTACATAATGGAATAGGACTTTCCTGGCAATTCTAGAACACCAGTGGATAAAACTTTAGACGTTTTGAGTGTGGTGAACTGAATTTTTAAGTATACTATCGTCTCATATTTTCTTTCCAATAGTTAACCAACATTAGTCTGTGAGTAGAGCGACGGCGGTTCAGTGGTAGAATACTCGCTAACTATGCATGTAGTTCGGTTTCGAGCCCCGGTGGTCAACGCACTCCTAAACCTCGTTTACCTGGTTGGAAACCAGGTAGGAAGGGAAGGTTGGGTGTGAGGCTAGTAAACCCACCTCATAGAGCAAAAATAAACACCACTGCTACTGAAACTTCAAAGCTAAAGCTTGAAGCCCCTCCCCCCTATGTTCCATTCGGAACGCAAATGGACAAAATAAAAATAAAATAACTCTTTACGTATTAGCTGACAAGAAAGCGACTAAATAAAATGATGTCACTGTAAGCAAGAAAGATGTACAAAGACTTGGATGCAAAGGATACTCTAAGTGACCAAAGTGTATTCGTCTTTAATGCATGGCTTTTTATCGGTTTCTGAACAAGATTACAGTTCAGACAGTATATCTTACAAATTTATGACATTTTTGCACCAACAATAACATTCATAGGTTGTAATTTCCGCCAGACGGTTTCCAATGTGATGCCTATTAAAACCGTATTCGCGCAAATGAGAAACTTCACAGTTAAAGAAGAAAGCTGTACTGAATAACTGGGATAGAATTTCTAACGAATCTGATTAAAAACCGTAAATGAAACGATATAATCTGATCCCAAAAGCTATTGTTTCTTTATTCATTTCTTAGAGTGGGAAATAGGGCATCAGAAGCACTAGGTTGTCTGTTATTAATTTCCATAGATATCACAACTACTCAAAAGCCTTCATCTCCTTCTTTTATCCATGTCACTCTCAAGCCTACGCCTAACTCGTTACTTCCCATTCGGGTTTCATTCGACATCACTTGAATGTCTCATCCGTTGAATGTCGAATCTATGTTCATTCCGCTCAGCACATTTCTTGGCTCAACAACAGGTTCTTGGATGATTCTCTACCTGTAAGAGTCCTTTGTTGTATAACCCATCTTGGCTAGCCATCTGATTTTTAGTATCGAGCTAGCAAAGGCATATGTTGATAAAATTCTGCAGAAGGCTGTTGGAAATGCCTTTAATGATATACGCGTCAATTCTATGAATCATATAAAAGCATTGACTTAAAATTAGTATCAAAAATTAGGGTATTATTCCTTGAGCTGAGTGTTGTAGAGTTCCACAATGATTCCATAGTAATGGACGCTTTCTCTATCCTGCTTTTAGCATCCTCATATGTACTACCAGCAGTGGAAACGATGCTGTCCAGGTGGGTTAATTGAAGCAGACTACATCCTTCAGAATACTCAGAATATTTACACCAAAGAAAAATGATTTCATATAAATGAAATTAATAGCTTGACTAACATACCACTTGGAGATATTACAGATAGTCGTAATAATCCTCTCCTTTGATATACAATATCAGCATAAACTTGTACATGTTCCAAATAGCGTATAGGTGTACCATTTTCTGAAGTGGATTTATTCAGTTTATTCAAGGATTCATTGTCTTGAGTTTTAGGTTGACATCCAGAAAAGTTAAGAAATAATGTATGGTTGAATTTCCCGCCTAAATTCCTGGTGCACACATAAAAGGGTTACGAAAGATACGTCTTATTAGGATTTATACACAGGGCAAAATAATCTGTTATAAATAGTGCTTGAAGTGTGTGTTATCCTCAATTTTAGTACAGAATTAATTCTACTGACCAAGCACAGGATCCCTGAACTGAATGAAGTATGCTAGAAACATGACATTGGTTACATTCCGATTTAGAAACTAAATCGGAAATTAAATACCTAGGTGTCATTCTATCTGCTGATCTCTCCTGGTCGTCTCATATCTTAGTAATTTCTAAGAAAATATTCCGTCTTATCTTCTACATTAAGAAGTTAAAACATTCTGGTATTACCCAACCCTTACTCCTACAATTCGTTAATTCTCGCATCCTGCCTATTATTCTCTATTGTTCCCCCTTAGTTTTTCCAGGTCTACTGAAGAAAGACTATAACATATTACGCAGGATGTTAAATGTTGTCAGCAGAGTAAGCAACGTGCCACTTAACCAGCTTGTTAATATTTTGGTTGACAGGCACATGGACTCATGTGAAAAATGGGCTAAATCCATTTTATCTAACTCACACCACCCTCTTCACTCACAACTCTCCCCTTGTATCTCATCAGGTAAAACAAGAAATCAATATAGAAAACTATATGCTCGCACCAGCAAGTACAAAAACTCAACCATACCCTACTTAGCTCGTGTTCTGTGTGATAAAGAAAGCATTAGGCGTGACACCTATAATTCATTAAATAGTCATTAGTACAACTGGATCTCATCTTTCCAACCCACTTCATCAATAGGTACAACATTTTCTTTCTTTCTGTTCCTTTTCTCTCTCTCTCTTTTCCGTTATGTGCTGCTTTGTTTCTTTCTCTTGCTTACGCCAGTTAATAAGACAGCTTCCACTTTTCTAACACCTCCAAACACTGTTTCAGCTTTACCTTTGCTACTGACATGCCAATGTATTGTTGTAATAATGAACTGTGGTTTCCTTAATCTATGTTGAATTCTATTTATCGATAATGTACTAACTGGATGCAATACTGTAGTAAAAATGCTGAGAATTCCATTCTGTATCACAAGTACTGTTTTGGAATAAAGCAAATTATTATTATTATTATTAAAAAAAACTAGTCAGTGGCGAGCCCGAATAGCACAGTAGTACACCCTATGACTGTAGTCCCAGGTAACGCCAGTTCGAATCCCTAATGTAGACATCAATTCCTTCAAGACTGTAGATACGCCCTGATGAAGAATGCTAACAAGCACGAAACCAAAGGCTAAAGCACCCTATCAATCGCCTCCAACCACTCAATATCAATTCGAAGTGCACTGAAATGACTAGTCACCCAGGTTGCTGACCGCTTTGCAAACCTGACTGGTCGAATCCACTCAGCACCAAAAACAACACAAAGAAACACATCAGTAACTTGTTTGTGACCAATCAATATAATTTATATCTATTGTCAATAAAAAATTGACAACATCACATTCCATGTTTAGGGTAAACATTAACAAACAAACTGAGTTCGTAACTTTTTGAAGAATAATGCTACTTCATATATGGTTAAAATTGACACGCTTTACAGATTACTGTTGAACAAAAAAAGAGCTTAATGCAAAGATATTGATTATTTTAAAAAATAGATGAGAAAAGTAGAAAAATCCTCCTTACAAATATCCTTCTTTTATCAAATAACAAAAGGGATGTTTCAGTATAAGATTCAAATGAAGTGTGTCTGTGGAGATTCCGTTATAACACAATGGATCACATATATACAGCTTTGAGGATCCATAAACTAAGGCTTAACCGTGATTCCCTACTCACAATATAAACTTATTGATCGAACTCCCTGATTTTCAATCACTCTGACTGATGTCAGTCTGCGATCTAACACGAAACTATTCGAATTACAGCGAAGACACGCTTGGATAAAAAAGTCGAACTAAAAAGAAGGTTATATCCGTAGATGTGTGAGTATAAGTTTTTCGGTGGAGAGGTGTACTTAATAAATGCCTCAGTAAAAGAAATATTCACGATTACAGGATTTGTAGGGATTTCGTTTGATTGGTTGAAGGATTTCATCATGAGCTGACATCAGTTAGAGAACCATTGGAAGACCTGCAGGGAGTACTGAACAGCTAACTGTTTCGTCCTGGTTTAGGATTCTTCATCAGTACGCACCCACCACTACGGTTCGAACCCAGGACCTTCTAGTTACAAGGCTAGCGAGCTCGTAGACCATTAAGCCACTGGGACCCGATCCAATGGCCAACGCATGAATTCTAACTTCTGCCAATTCACGACATAGCGAGACAACTTAACAGTGTCTTCTTCGATCAGTAACTGTCCTCACTTTCAACCTGCTGCATCCTACTGTAGATATTGTTATCACAGATCAGAGTCAATCATATAGATCAATGAAAACCGGGGAACACAATGGACAGCTGTTTCGTCCCAAGTGGCTGAATGGTCGACAAGTTTGGTCTTGTAACCTGAAGGTCCTGGACTGGATACCAGGTGGTGTCGTGGGTGCGGGGTATTGAAGAGTCCCAACATAGGACTAAACAGCTGTCCAATACTCCCTAGTTTTCAGTGATCTCTCCAACTGATGTTATTTCGTGACGAAAATATAACAGCTAAAAGAAATATGCTGAATTAAGACTCAGAAATTCTCCCACTGAACAACTTCTTCAAATACGTTGTCTCAGCAAAAATATTCACATAAACTTATAATAACCATTTAAAATAAACAATTATCAAAATGCAGAAAAATGAGGGAGGGATGGGGGCGGTATAGTTTGAAAAACTGTAATTTACTTTTGTACATCTATCACATTTGAAGTACACCGATGATGTGGAGGAACACCACGCCATAATTCACCAAGTCGAACCATTTTACCAGCATCCATTAAACCATATCCATACAGCTGACTATCTGCAAAATGAAGATGATTGACAGTTACGTAAGTATAACAATTCATGTAGAAAATAAATGACAGTTCAGAGAAGAAAATGTTTGTTTTTTTAATTATTAATTATGTGATCTTAAAAGGCTGTACAGTCCCAAGTACATTCACTAAGACGCAAAACAGTCTTTTGTAATTGTTCACATAAAGCTCAATAAATCAAAGGAAGACCAATGGATGGAAATTCCGTAAGATAAAATATAGGCATTTATGGATTCGCAAAACGTTCCTTATCAAAGTTTCACTTACGCATTAGCATTATACACTGAGTAGAATGTATAAAAGTATTTGAGTTTTCAAGTATTGGTTTTTGTAGGGATTTTCGCTTGATTGCATGGAGGATTTCATCATGAGCTGACATCAGTTAGAGAACCACTGGAAAACCTGCAGGGAGTACTGGACAGCTGTTTCGTCCTAGTTAATGACTCTTCATCAGCACGCAGTTTTATTAAGATGAAAAGTTATCGTTTGACTGTTTATCAGTCCAGTATATTTGGAATCGATAAGGGTAGGTACACTGTCTTAGGTAAAAAATAGCACTGTATATTGATTAAGTTGTGTTCTCTGAGCTGAACAATTTAATTTTGAAACTTTCATTGTCTCTCTAGACAACATCTCCAGCGCCGACTTCAGTATGAACTAAGCTTTTAGAATTTTACATGAGTTTATTAACTCTTTTCTGGTGACCCTGAACGTGACTTGTTCTTTCCGGAGGTTTCCTTATCCTCTTATTCATTTGTAGTAGTACTGACTATTTAGTTGACAACTGGCCTACGTGTCTTCCTTTATACTGCTTGGTAAACCTAGTACTCATTCCTTACGTTCCGAATGAGACACAGGGTTTCAACGACAGTCCCCTGTCGCTCTTTTTCTCTTCTTTTACTTTTAACTGGCACCATGACTGCCCAATGGCTTTCGTTTTCTGCTTACATGATCTCTTCACACGCCCCTTTCAACACTTCCTATTCAAGTTGCACTGGAGAACCTAGCGTATGATTCCACTTGAATGTTTCCTCAGTGTATGGCCGATCTATCTCCTTCTGCATATCTATCGGCCAATAGGTTCTTAGCTGATTTGTTTGATAATCTTAATCTATATCAATATGTCTTTTGATTGCAAAATTTGTTTCACATGTGAACAAGAGGACGGTGAAACCTCCGGAAGTAACGAACCGCGCTCAAGGTCACTGGGAGAGGCGATTAGTAAACTAATGAAGAATTTTTAAAGTCTACTTCATATTTAGAGGTCTTCTCTGTTTTACAATACTATATTCATTCATTCACTATCTTTTTCACTAGAGTCATCACGGTGTCTCGTAGTTCAGTTTGTAGATTGAAGGCGCCGAGTGCTAGGTAAGGCGGGGAAATCAATCGACGAAACTGTGAAATTACATCGACTGAGATGGTTAGGACATGTGCTACGTATGCCTAGTCATCGCCTTCCTCGACGGGCAATGTTAGCTGATATAGGGCCAGGCTGGAAAAGAGCTAGCGGCGGTCAAACGAAAACAAGGCACCAGTCAATGAAATCTACAACAGTTAGCTTAAGCCACGTAGGGAGGTGTAGACTTCCTGGTTGGAGTCCTCAAGACGGTAAAAACCAATGGTTGGAAACTGGCTGGCTGGCTGGATTCAACATAGAACTTGGCACCGAAGTGCAGCAGTTCGAGTTGCCACGTTCCAAAGAGCACACAAAGGTAGACAGGAAAATGGGAGAAGAGAATCAATAGAATTTAGATAAGTATAAGAGTGAAACAGAATGAGTAATGGTAGAAAGGAATATGAAAGATTGCAGAGACTGAATACATCTGCGCCACTGACAACGATTTTGAGCCATGTCACCTATTGTCTCCAGCCATTGATTCCTAGAGTCCCGAGGGCCCTAACCCGGAAGTCTCCATCTCCATACCTGACAATTGGTGACATGGCTCAAAATCGTTCTCAGTGGCGCAGATGCATCCACTCCTTGTGAATTATGATTTCCAATGAAACTGTTTTGTTCTTCGTTATTACTATTCCTTTGTCTCACACCTCTGTTTACTGTCTATATTATGCCTTTCTTCTACTTTCTTCTCTTGCTTTGTGTGCTACATGGAGTGTGGCTACTTGAACTGCCGCACATATGTGCAAAGTTCTATGTCGGAAACCGACGGACCGACCGAGATTGAAGGACTGGTAGTTCAGAGAATGTTGTTACGAATCCTTGGGTTTATTTCATATTTATTCATGATTCAATATATCGATATCAGTTTGCAAGTACAAAGCTATCCCAGTTACTTCAAGAAGAAGGATGTTATAAAGCTTTTCTGTCAGCATTGAGACTCAAAAGGAACATCAAGGTTTTCAATAAAATTATTATTATTTATTATTGTTTCCTTTGATTCCTAGAGGGACATAGGGCTTCAGCCATGCGTCTCTATTGCGTTCGGTTCTCTGCTAGAGTCTTCACCTGGCTCCAAGTCTGCCCACATGTTTTCATCTCCTCTTCACATGACCTCCTCCAAGTCACCCTCGCACTGACGACCAACTCGCCGCTTTCCTTTCGGTTTCCACTCAAGGGCTTGTCAATAAAAACTTACTACAATATAAGTAATTTAGTGACAAAATGCAAAGTTGAAAACGTTAAACACATATGTTTTGTTGAAATAATAGGCTGGTAAAAAACAACAACTATGGAATGTCAATTAACTACCGCCTAACACTACTTATTAATAACTAAAAGTAATATACTTCTATTATAGAATAATTTTATTTGATAAAGGAATGCACACAGTGATACATTATTGAACACTGGATGACGTTCCGAGCACAGTTTATTGCTCATAATTATATCACAGGGTAGTCAGATTATCGGAACAAACGATCTGAGGTAAGTGTAGAATGATTTACTTCATCAAGATGAGTAGTTTACAGTTAAACTCAACAGTTGTTATATATGCACTAATACATAATAATACAATAGGGTGGGACACATCTACAGTTCTCAAAAGTAATATATATAGAAAGGTGGACGGATAGTGGTAGTCACTGAATCTTTGTTTATCGAATCCATACCAAACAAATACAATAAGAATGACACAAAGCCAGCTACCAGAAGCATGGAAAATTTTACTAAGAGGTGATCACGGATTGATATCAGCTAGAGAACCATCGAAAACCAGGGAGTACTGGACAGCTGCTGTTTCATCCTAGTTTGGGAATCCTCGGCAGTACGCACCCACTGGGGTTCGAACCCAGGACCTTCCGGTTACATCAATCCATGATCAACTCGTAAAAAACAAAACTAACCTTTACAAACCAAACTATAAGAAATTAATCTGATGCTTGCTAGTGACTTGCTACAGGATGGAGTTTCCTGGAGTTCTAGTGAGAAGTCGTGACCAGTGAGGTTCATCCAGATGTCACATGTGAGGATGGATGTTCCACCTACGACAATGGTTGGGGTCGCGCTAAATCACGAGTTGGTAGAAGTTAGAATTCATGGATTGGTCATTGAGAAGTCGGGTCCCAGTGGCTAAATGGTATACCAGCTTGCTTTGTAACCGGCTGTCTAGTACTCCCTGGTTTTCAATGGTTCTCTAGCTGATATCAATCCGTGATCAACTCGTAAAAAACAAAACTAACCCTTACAAACCAAACTATAGAAAATATTACTACTAATTAAAAAATCTTAGGATAAGAAATAACACAGTTATATGAACAAAACTCGAAAGTTATGTCAATACCTTGAAATGATTAAGCTCAATTGAACTATACTTAAAAAGTCATCTTATTATAAATACTGTATCAAATAAAGTCATTCTATGATGGAATAATACTCTAACATAATGCTGAAGTTCTATTCTCAAGTGTAATAAATAACAGTGTCATACATCCTGTCACATAACAGTAAAACATGCCTGTTAAAGGTGAACAGTCTGTGATTATCGACAATACTTCAACCAACGTAGCTTAGGTATGCTGACAATAACCTAATAAGGACAGTTAAAGTTTGACATTCAGCAAACAGTGGCTTAATGGTCTATGAGCTCGCCTTGTAACCAGAAGGTCCCAGGTTCGAACCACGGTGGGTGTGTACTGATGAAGAGTCCCAAACTAGGACGAAACAGTCGTTCAGTAATCCCTGCAGGTATTCCAATGGTTCTCTAACTGATGTCAGCTCATGATGAAATCCTTCAACCAATGAAAACAGGATTTCTTGAAAATGTACTTCTCTTTGATGGGATTATGTATGCATTACCCAAAGCTAAAATGTTAGCTATAACAAGATAACATTGAACGAAAGTCGAGGATAGTCATAACACAGTGATAGAGTACCTCACGTTATGTTTGTAAAGTGTATGAAAAAGGTAAGGAGTTTTACTGAACCTGTGTAAGATATCTGAAACCGGAGGTTGGATACTTTAAGGGTACAATAGATACCGGTGTAAATATATAAATATACATTCATGCTTTATTTTCTCATAAATTATGTCTAATTATAATGTGTTTTAATTCACTTTAATAGGAAATTTTCATTTTCTTTTCTTTTGTTCAATTCTCCCCTGCTGTGATGAGAAGACATACAGCATGCACGCATACACCCGTTGTCATTGTTAATAGATGAACAATGTTCCAGGCACAGAATTATTTAGTACATCAATATATTTTCATATTTCTTAAATATAACTGTACTGAATGCAATATAAGAGTGTATAAACAGCATAACTTAACAAAAATGATGTATCTCATTTACTCATTGCATATATAAACCCAAATGATGCGTAAATAAGACATGAAGATGGACATTTAGACTTAAAAGAGAAAAGTAGCTCTGGCACTTCTAATTACACAGTGTTTAGTTTATGTTAGGCGGTTGGAAGCAATCAGCAGGAAGCCTTGCCTGAACTAGGTTTCCTTCTAGTTGGCACTCATCAGTCAACAAGGCGCCTGTGCACTGACCACGATTAACATCGTGGAGGACTGTAATGGATACTTTGATTGGACACTAGTGACTACTGTGATGTGTCTGTCTAGTCTTTTATTTTGTGCAGACTAAATTCTACTAGTCGGATTTGCAATGTGGCCACCATTCTAGGTAGCTCACCATCACGATACACTTTGAATTGTTGATGTTTGATGGTTGCAGATACGTCTTTCTGACTGATGAGCGCCAACTAGCACGAAACCTAGGTCCAAGGCTTCCTGCCGATTGCCTCCAACCATCTAACATCAACAATTCAAAGTGCACCGTGATGGCGAGCTACCTAGAATGGTGGCCACATTGCAAACCTGACTGACAGAATTCAGTCTGCACCAAAGATAGGATTAGACACATCACACTAGTTACTGGTGTCCAACCAAAGTGTTTACTTTAGGTGACAAACTTACCTACCGCTCATCCCAAATGTAAATAATACTAGTGGCTTGAAGTATACTGCAACAACAAACTAGAAATAATGAAGAAAATATGTATTTCAGGTGGAGAATATCAGTGTAGTTGAGTTTGTACTGAAGTCAGCGTTGATAATGTTGTCTAGGAAAACAATGGGAGGTCCGTGGTTAAAACATTCAGCTTAAAAAACACAACTTCACCTTAATTATATGAATTAAAAAAAATTGATTGTGATACATTTTGTTATTTGGTCCGACTAATAAGTTATTAAATACTGCAACAGGTGCTACTGACAAGAGTTGTAAGTAATATCTTGTGTGTGTGTGATGTCTTCTGCAAATTATACTGAACAGTGGATGGACGGTTTGAATGACGAAGAGGGGAAATAAAAGACCCTTGTCAAAAAACATAGAAAACATGAGAGGAAGACAAAATAAACACGATTGAGAGAACATGTTCAAAGGGAAATTTCAATGTAGATTGTCTATATTTTGCCGTGTCTGTACACCAAATACTACTAATATATACTACTTATATAACACACCAGTAAAGTGACAAAGCGTCGGCAGATTAGGAGTAGAATGCTCGCCAACCACCCGAGTAGTCCAGGGTTCTATCCCAGCCAGCTATAAGCCCGACAAAGAAGGAAGGTTAGGCGAGAGGCTAAGATCCCTACCCCATAAAAAACTACCGCTGCTACTGAGACCTCAAACGTCAAGCTTGAAGCCTTGTGTTCCACTCAGAACGCAAAGGAATAAAACAAGTTTGAATGTGACGAATAACATTTGAAACACGGAAATATTCTGCAGTCACGTAGAGGTTTCAGTCAGTAACCACTGAAAGCCTGAAATAATACGAATCAGGTAACACCAAAACACCATAATTTCTTGAATTTTTTATTTCATTTAGAATAAGGATGCTTACCTTCATTTCTTTGTGTTCTGAGTGAAGCACATAGATTCAAGGTTTAAATTTTCAGTAACAATGTTGTTTCTTTTTTACTCAGTGGGTTCTCACGCCCAACTCTCCCTTCTTGCTGACTTTATAACCAACTAGTAAACCAGTTGAGGTTTAGGAATGAGTCGGCCGCTAAAAGCAACAAGTTGGCAGAAGAAGCACCAAAGATAGGACCTCAGGTGAACATATTTTTTAAAATTTTTTTTATATTTTTTTATTTTGATTACAGCTTGATGCCACATCGTATTTTCAGTACAAGTATGACATTTTCAGCATGGATATCGGTAGCCCAAATTTTGCAGGCCGACCATGGATATCGGGTGTGCGTCGGTAGGGGTTCGAACCCCGGACCATGTGCATGGTCGGCGAGAGTCCTAACCACTGTGCCACCGACGCACATAGATAAAATAGGGGTGGTGAAGATTCCTGGCCAACAGCCACAGCAACAGACAACAATCAGCCAGCACAAATGGGAGAAATCTGAAAGAAGCAACCGCCTTTACCTACCTACCTACCTACTTGGTAAGCTCCTTTCAACTACAAGCGGACGGAAGTGATGAAGATATCAAAGCAAAGATCGGGAAAGCAAGGCAAACTCTCAAGTCTGTGTGGAGATGAACAGCACTCAGCATCAAAATGAAAATAAGATGCGGGTTTTCAACTTCAATGTGAAGTCAGTCCTACTGTACGGATCACAAACTTGGCACTTAGAACAAACTAAAGACTTTCATCAACGGCTGTCTTCGCTCAGTACTCAAGATCAGATGGCCGGCCAGAAAAGGTCAGCGACGGGAACAGATCTCTGGGAGTGAACCAACCCAGTAGGAACCAACTATGCAACAAATAAGCAGGAAGAAATGGAGGTGGATTGGCTGGCCATACTCTGAGAAAACAAACAATCAAGTGACATCACACGCCAGGCCATAACTCGAGTGGAACCCGAAAGAGAAGCGACGAGTTGGTCGTCAGTGTGAGGGTGACATGGAGGAGGTGATGTGAAGAGCAGATGAAAGCATGTGGGCAGATGTAGAGCCAGGTGAAACTGTTTGTAGAGAACCGAACTCTCCCCTTCCTCTAGGAATTGACGGAAACAACAATAATAATTATTTTTATTTAAGAAAAAAAGAAAAAGTGTGAAATAATTAAATCACTTACATTCACGACCAACAGCATTTTTAGTGAAATTACCATCTTTAAACGGTTTTGGATTAGCTGTAAGTAAAGTGATATATTGGACATCACGCCAACTTAAACGATCACTGTTCATAGGAGAAGAAAAAAACACAGAAAGAAATATGATAATGGAAAACAGATGAGGAAAGAGAACAAAGGACACACAAATCATTTAAGTTAAATTCCACAAAAATATACTCAGTATAAACTTAAATGAAAAACTATTATTATCATCATCATCCATAGAATCATCACTTAAGAGAAAACAACAGAAGTAATATAGATGACAGAAGATATTTTATCTGATTAAAAATGCTCATTAAAATTTTCAAAAGAATAGGCACTCTTTTCGATAAATTCATCATCAGGTTCTACAATTATATATACATTATAATGAATGAATGAATTAGTCTTATGAACGACATTAATGTTTAAATAACATCAAATCAATAATATTGCTAGATTACAACCGAATAGCATCAACATAAAATAAACTGAATGTCAGAAGAATTAGGAAAGATAATGGTACAAATTTATGAGTTTATAGATTCTACTGAGGGCCAGGGCAGTAGTAAGAGCCGGACTTGTTTCTTTTGAATACAGAGCACTGGTTGTTTGAGGCGAATTGCAATAGTCTCTGCTGTTTGGAGCATGCGGTGCTTTTGGTAATTTGTTAGGCACCCGGTATATTATAGAGAAGGATTCTTCTACGCTGGCTTTGTGGCCGATTTGCACCAGATGGTCCAATATCGAACTGTTAAGTTTTAACTACACCTTTACTTAGCCATAGTGGGATATGTTCTGGAGCACGAAAAATCAAGTTCCTGGAGCAACGGCCAATATAACTCGCTCCACAAGCGCAGTTGAATTGATAGATACAATTTGAAGTGGTCAGCTAGTCTAGGTACTTCATCTTTCAGTCGAGGTAGCACCATCGGTCGTGTAGAGAAACATACGTGTAGTTCACCAGTATTAAAAGTTCTTTGAACTGATTTTCTTAATTTCTTCGTAATTAACTCGCTTGGTATATCGCCCATGAATTGTAGTCGTATATATAAAGGCTTCTTGTTTACAGACAGTGAGTAATCCTTTTCCGCTTTCTTTGTCATATGTTTCTTGATAAATTTGTCAGGATAACCATTTTCGATCGAAGTATCATATACAATGCTTAATTCATCTTCAATTACTTCTTCTGAGCATATAGCTCTAACTCTGTGACTAAAGGTTTTCACTAAATTTCTTTTGTAACTGATAGGAACGATGGTGTGAAAGTGTGTATATTGTTTATCTGTTTGAAAAAGTGTAACCGAGTGATGTATGTCTGCAGAAACGCATTGAATAAGATCTGTCTTACGAATATTAAGAAACGAATCGTATTACTAAGATTACAGCGACAGTTGGGACAATATTATGTTAGAGTAAATCGAATAAACAGAAAGTATATAACAGCAATGGAAGAAGTGTAGATTCCTCTGACTGCACACTTGAAGAGTGCATAGGGAAACGCTGTTATAAAAGCAAATTTATTCAACCTATCATGGTTCGAAATTTTAAATACTCTCAATAGCTTACAACTGATTACCATCTCTTCAGCTGAACTATTTCCACCTTCATATTGCATTCACTATGTGTACTTCTGAATTGTGTATTACTCGAAAGTGTTGTTGCCTAATATGATGTGCATCAGTGCAATTCCCTATTCTGGCTTATTTGCCTTTGAGACTGAATGAGTCAATTGCCATATTCCATTCAGCATTTAGGTGACTTCTGAAAGGGGAAAGAAAATTTCTAGTGGTATATTGTCTCATGTTTCTGATTGAAAACTGTTTCATTAATCTGTCTCTCCCTCACTCTCATTGGTCAATTAATAGTCAGTGATGTAAAGATTCAATTGAAGTGGTTAACTTGATAGGTGCGGTATCTTGTCTTTTCATTTCGTTGAGAATTATATTTCACTAGTCACTGGATTTAGGATGACGTGTCCGGCAGTCCTAGTGGGGTCCACCTAGCTGGGCGTGAGGACAAATACTAACATGTGACATTGGTTGGTGGTCGCTCTAAAAACCACAAATTGGTAGAAGTTGGAATTCATGGGCCATTAAGTCAACGAGCTTAACTCTTAACGAAGATGTTTTGGGTTCGACTCCTTGTGGGTGGTGGAAACTGCTGAAGAATACCAAACTAGGACGAAATAGAGCTGTCCAGTACTCCCTAGTCGCCCAATAGTTCTCTAACCGGTATCAATCCGCGATCAAACTTGAAATAACTCAAGTCTACTCTAAGGTGAACGATAATCAATGTCTGTTTGACTATAAACCTCATGTTACGTTTATGTATGCGCCTGTGAAGTAAAATTATAACCGGAGGTTTGTAGTTCAATAGATAAATTATTAACTGACTGACTCTATCGGATAAACAATGCAAGCAACTATGGGCGTTATAACAAGCCACTACATATCAAAACATAATTCTTATAGTGAAGTAAAGAATAAATATCTAACATAAGCAAAAACGTATTTCCGGTAATTTCCCATCGGCTCTTACAATTAGTTATTAAAATTAGTCAGCACTGATAATTGATATTAATGTATTTAAAATAACAATAATGATAATAATAATAACAGTGATTATTATTATTACCATTATTTATTACCTTAATTCGTATACTGATGAGGAACTACCGGAAATATACATTTCCTTAATCTCTTTTCTGTTATTATCAGCATAAAAGTAACGATATTAATAATTTATTTTCAAGTGTTGGTTTGTAGGGATTTGACTGGTTATAGGATTTTCATCATGAGCTGACATTAGTTAGAGAACCATTGGAAAACCCGCAGAGAGTACTGGACAGCTGTTTCGTCCTAGTGCTTCGGACTCTTCATCAGTGCGCACCCACCGAGGTTCGAACCCAGGACCTTCTGGTTACAAGGCGAGCTCGCATACCATTAAGCCACTGGGACCCGATCCAATGGCCAGTCCATGAATTCTAGCTTCTGCCAATTCAAGACATAGTGCGACCGCTAGCCAATGTCTTCGGCGAGTATTTGTCCTCACACCCGACCTGCTGCGATGGAATAAGAATCATCTCATAAAGGCATTAGTCACTGAAAACAGGATGAAGTTGTCTGCAGTTCTGGTGAGATGTCATGGGATACTCCAGGTTAGATGTGAAGACAACTACTCGCTGGTAAGTAACTTGTGAATTAAAAACCTATGGTTTACAAAATCATGTCCAAGTGTTAGCTTGTAAAGATGTGTTAAGTTTCAAGTTTGATCACTAACTGTGATTGACTTCGGTCAGAGAACCATTGAAAACCAGTTAGGAGTACTGAACAGGTGTTTCTTCCGCTGCACCCACTTATGACCGCACTAGAAATTCAAACACAGGACCTTCAGGTTACAAGATGAGCTCGTTGATCATTAGACCACTAGGACGGAATCCAACGGCCGATCATCAAATTCTAACTTTTAGCTCACCGCCGGCCACTGTCACAGGCGAGCATTTGTCGTCACACCCAACCACCTGGTTGATTCCACTGGACACGACCGCTCACTACAACTCCAGGCAACTTCGTCCTATAGTCAGTCACTATTAAGCATTACGGATTAATGTCACATTCGTTGATGATGTTTGAATTGTACATGAAATGAAAAAATCTATACAATAAACTCCCTAGAAAACACACCTACATAATTCGACTATTATAAAATGTATAATCTTAATATTATTGCATAATGGTACAGAAATGTTAGGCCGTTATCGAACCAACGGGAACTCAAACAGGAAGAAAAGAGACATTTCTCAATCTAGAGAACAATTTTAGGAGAAGATTATGCTGAGAAGAGAATTGTGTTATTAGAGGCAACGAATGAAATTTAATTGGCAATCCAACTTCTACATCAGTCCATAAGTTTTTGTACTCGAGTTTAAAAGATAACTGGAACAGACAAGTACACCCTTTGCTTTACATATATACACGTATGCTAAGAATCCTGACGATAGACAATTCTTATCTATCAATGAATATTAAAGATTATGGGATTTAGTACACTGATATTTTATTCTCCTTCTACAACTCCTGCTGCTTGTTTTAACCAGCGAACAATACCCCAGCAGAGTGTTATTTTACACGCAAAAATCTTATAATACCATTTTGAAAGGTAAATATTTAAGCTATATGACATAAAAAGAGATAAAAGTTTTATTAGTATGAACTAAGGTAGTTTATATATAACAAGTTCATTTGAGAATTACCTTTAGAAATCTTATTAAGCCATCATCATCTTATGTTTCAAAAGTATTTCGTTAACCTAATCAATATTCGCTACATATGTCTACCTTGTCATTTTGGTATTTTCTTCACAAAAAAACAACACAACGAAACTCTTTCACACTACACAAGTTCTGATTTAACTCAAATAGGTCAGTCAGCTGTACCATATGAAATATATATATATATATATATAGGTTCACTTTTTCTTTAACAAAAATTTGGTTATATAAACCATATTATTTTTGAGCAGAAATACACGGCATGATGGTAGCTGCTTAAAGTATCTATTGATTGAATACAACCCAAAGTTTTGATGATATTAGATAGTTGGAGGCAATCGAAAGGAAGCCTTGCCTGAACTAGGTTTCGTGCTAGTTGGTACTCACCAGTCAGCAAGGCGTATCTGCAGCCCACGTCACCCACTGCTGCAGTCAGTCAGCACGAAACCTAGGTCCGAGGCTTCCTGCCGATTACCTCCAACCATATAATACCAACAGCTCACAGTGCACCATGATGGCAAGTCACCTAGAATGGTGGCCACATTGCAAACATGACTGATAGAATTCAGTCTGCACCAAAAATAGGACTAGACACATTACACTAGTTACTGACTAGTGTGCAATCAAAAATATCCAATACAGTCCTACAGGAGGTCAGTCGCGAGCCTGAATAGCTCAGTGGTAACGTCTCTGACTGCAGCACTGGGTGACGCGGGTTCGAATCTCACAAGGGACATCAGTTCCTTCAAGGTTGCAGATACGCCTTGCTGATGAGTGCCAACTAGCACGAAACCTAGGTTCATGGCTTCC